TGCCTATTGCGGGGGCGTTGTCTGTCTGGTCAACATGTAGCGGAGCTGAGAGTCTCGGTAGATTTCGGGCACTCAGCGGTTGCTTTCAGGTATCTGACCTTCCTGATAGCATCATTGATTGGCATCAGAGCGGCGGATTAAACGAGAAATGTGCAGTTCTTCCGAATTCGACTCATCAACTGGTTGAACACAGAACTGAGGTTACCTGACCTTGCTATGTTGTTATTGTTATCTTCCGTCGCCTCAAGATGGCGTGAAAACAAGCGTGAAATGGATGATGAGGTCCGTTTGATAATACCAAGACACTGAGTGCATACTGACCTTGAATGGTAGCTGAAAAGTAATATCTATTTTTCACTCTTGTGCCAGAGAATCTAAATGGTATTCGACTCGCGAAACTTGACAGGGATGTGCGCCTGAATGCCGATGCGAGCACTTTCGATGTACATACATGCATGCACATATATGAGTGTAACTCAGCTACACCAACCGGATCCTCTGGCAGTCCGACGTTTTGATAGCAGTACCCACGGAAAATGGTTAAGTTGGTCTGATGTGCCAGGCAGCAGTGGACGTCAGGCAGTTAGTTTCATCTTACTCAGGACTTCATCCTGAACGACAGTCGGCGAGAATCAAATCCATCAAACTCAAGCCCCTGATCCATCGGGGTAAGGCTGGTTGGCTTGTTCACCAATAATAATGTGTTTATGTCATTCTGCCCTAGACGGAGAACGCAGGTTTTGTCAACAGTCCATTGCGTTATCTGAGGAGGCGAGTTGTGGTGTAACACTGTTGCCCTGACACAAGTAACTGACTATAAAGGTCGTTGGAACCCCCTTGATAGCTCAAAACTGGCTTCGTCCTTTTTGAAACTCATCAGGCGTAGACCCCGAACTGCCCTCAAACAAGTGTTCCAGGTGAACACTAAATCGCATGTAAATGACGAATTGTATCCGGTTGCAAAGCGCACTGCAGACATGTGGGAAAAGATCTACATGCAACATCCACCTACGGTATTCTTCAACTGAATATCACTCTCAAGCTGGCACGGCATTCGCCGACGCTCAGAACCCCAAGACGAGCGTAAACGGAAGTGGCTGTCGGTGAGTCCTCCGAAATTCCTCAAGAAGCCATTCCACTTCGCCTCGGATATCATGCTAACGAAGTCATCAAGTGGGTTTCCCGAAGCACATCCTTTTGAAGAATGACGCAAACGAACCGTTCAGTTTGATCTGTACTTTGCCAGGAGAACTGTTGTTTCTCTAGCGTCAAAGGATTCCATCTTGTACAGCGTTAAGAGATCAAGAACTTTATTCAGGCCACTGAGCAAAATATGTGGACCAAAATGCAATGGCCTCAGAAAAGACGCAACGCTCTACGCTTGTAGACACCTCGTAGCAGACCAGGACCTATCAGAACTGCACTCGGTAATCAGGAGCATAGTCAATGTGAACAGCTGTAGAATAACCGTTTAGATGACACGTTTGTTTGAGCTCGAGACAGACCAGTGACTAAAGCGCGAACATCCGTACCTGAAGGTCAACGGTTCGAATCAAATACTTGTGTAACATTGACACTACTGATGGGGAGGCATGCGAGTAGTATGGTTTTTTCTTGTAAATTCGCTTTGCGTCCCTTGAAAATGGAGATATATTACGGAACTTGTGGAGCAGCTTTGTAACGTTTGCTTGCATGTGAGCAACAGTCAACGAATATCCAGGAAAGTTCAGGAAGACGCATTCAAGAGAAGGTGGATATTCAATTTTTGTAAATAAGATGCAAATGAGAGTTTTGCTTCCCTGTCCAGTAGTCTGTAACTGGTTAGTTGACATTTTTTAATAAATAACTCTACAGCAAACGCCTTCTTTCTTTCACTAATATCTGAAAGGCTTCAATCCAGGGCAACCTGACAGTTGATCGGGCTCCGTGCCTCCGGGTGGCAATGGGGCACCGAAAGTTTCTAACAACCGAACGCCTACTCATTTATTAAACAAAGCTGCTTCTGTTTTCAGACAGAACTGGCGTGAATTCACTGCCAAACTGGGGGACGATTTATTCATCCGGTCATTTATATCGAGATTCCCACCGAAGAGGTGCGATGACAAACTTCACCAAAAAACACCAGCGAGATGATGCATTCAGTGGAATCTCCAAGGCTTGAATGCACGGTCGGCTGACTTCGATGTTGTGGAGTAAAAGGGCCGTTAATGGTTGCTATGTCAACAGATCTGGGTCGATTGACACGTAGCATCAGATCTCTGCTTGCTTTCCCTTCGATCCTATTCGTTGTTGTTCGGGCGCCGCCCCGTATTCGACGCCGCGTAGACAGTGAGTTGCACCAACTATGCTAATGAACTGATCTCCATGCGCCTACAAACCCTCTTCGGATGCCAACCAGTCCGTGTAGCTTTATACACGTGTATTCAACGATAATGTCATATAGGAGATGCCTATCTAAACTCAGTGACGCCAAATTTCTTACTCGGTCACACGTATTAGTGTGGGGCAACCTTTTGTCATATTATTGTTAGGCGGAATTCCGCACCAAAACTGCATTACCGCTCGTAATTAGGTGCCGCTGCCACCAACACCCCTAACCCGCACGCGTTTGAAGAGAAGATCGGGCCACTTTCCGATCTACACCAAGGTGAACTTTGATTGGTGGACTTAACAGCCAATCACCATTCAGTATCCACCGCGTGCCGGTCGCGGTGCCACGTCCAGAAAGCGTCGGAGATACCAGAATGCTGCCACCTCATACACGTCAAATACGACCTTGTTTGGGGACATTTACTGCAAGTAGTGCGCATTTTGTGGTCCTTTTACCGAAAAGTTCAGACCAAGAACTGAGCTGAGCTACTACCGTTATTGCATTATTCGAGACTGAAAGTTTCCCCTGCCTTTCTCAAATCAATCAAATTCCTACATAACAAAGACGAGTTTGGCTTGATTCTGATTCTGATTGCTGAAAAAAATCTATTGGTATCCAGCTATTCCCAGGTTAAAACGTCTCAGACGTCAGCGAATATACACTCATCTCCAAACTAATTTGGTTCTTTCGAGAAACTCACCTGGAACCCAGCTGAATCTCTCGTTTATGATGTTCTCAGGCAACTGAATGTGCTGCACCAGGCCGCCTCATGTTTCAGTCGCTACGATATTCGAGATATCGCGATACATGTATATCTTTGTAATGTACTACTCATAAGGTTGTTAAAAATCGATTTACATTACCATTATACATGTATAGCGATATCTCGAATATCGTAGCGACTGAAATATGAGGCGACCTGGTGCAGCACATTCAGTTGCCTGAGAACATCATAAACGAGAGATTCAGCTGGGTTCCAGGTGAGTCTCTCGAAAGAACCAAATTAGTTTGCAGATGAGTGTATATTCGCTAATTTCGTGCAATTTGGTTTCAAGTAGAACATAAGGTTGACGGAAACCCGGGGGCTGCGCCTACCTGATGAGCCCCAAGAAGGGCGAAACCGGTCGTGGGCTGTCGATGGATTTTCAGCAACCTTATGAGTAGTACGTCTCAGACGTTCCTCTGTATTTATTAATACGATATTCTCAGGGTGAATTTAAGCGGTCCAGTTGTAGGTGAGGAGGAGTGTTCAACTAATATTTTGTCTGAAAACATCATAAACGAGAAATTCAGCTAGGTTCCAGGTGAGTCTCTCAAAAAATGACTGCAATCCTCTAATTTTGTGGGTTTTTTTCAAGTAGAACATAAGGTTGACGGGAATCGGGGACTGCGCCTACCTGATGAGCCTCAAGAAAGGCGAAACCGGTCGTGGGCTGTCGAGGAGTTTTCAGCAACCTTATGAGCAGTGCGTTACGCATGCGATGCCCCTTCATTTTAGTGAGACCAGTCTTTCAGAGGAGGAAGTATGGCACAATACGAAGAAAACTTCCGTCTGCGAAACCGTCGTTCGAAGAGCACTGAGACCATGTGAGGTTTTTTCCTTGATCAAAGGATAAGCGGCGTCGCGTCCTGTCTAAGTCGAGTTAACCACAAGGCTGATCAGCCACTCATGCGTTATTGTTCAAACCAATAGCTGGGAGTACGGGTACGAGACTCTTTTGAGTTCCTTGAGGTGTGCACCAATGGGGATTTTGTCGTGCTTCTCGGTTTTTCAGCATGAGATGGCTTTACTTGGGTATCGGTGACACTACTGATGAGGGAGGCATGTGAGTAGTATGTTTTCTTGTAAATCCGCTTCGCGTCTCTTGAAAATGGGGATATATTGTGGAATTTGTGGAGTCGCTTTGTAACATTTGCTTGGATCTGAGCAACGGTCAATGAATATCCAGAAAAGCTCAGAAAGCCGCGTTCAAAGAAAAGATGGATATCCAGTTTTCGCAAACCAGATGCACATGAGAGTTTTGCTTCCAATAGTCTGTAGCTGTTCAGTTGGCATTTTCTAATAAACAACTCCGCAGCGAAGGCCTCCTTCAATTCACTGGTAAAACGAAATCTCGACGGATAGTTAGAAAATCCCCTGACACTACCTTCAGACAAGAAATAGTTTACCTCACTTTCATACATGTATCAACCCATTTCAGATGATTTTTTGCACAACTCTGAAAGTAGCAGACCCCAACTCTTTGACCCTTTATTCCGATGGCATAGACGCAACATACCGCGAAAGCTCAGAAACGATGCTCTGGGTGTGCTGAGTTGGATGAACTCGGCCATCGATTCAGGTTCTGAGGAGGCTGGATAGTGATGGTTGGAGACGTCGGCTGATGTAGCGCAGAACTAAGCTCACTGACAGGCTTGTTATTCCCTGCCACGTCGTTAGGTATTGGCTGTGATGTACTTCTTCCAGGATTGGGCCACGTGACTCTCCCTGTGCTCGATTGGAGACAGTGAACGATTTGCCGGTCAACCGATTTCAGTCCCGTTCATGTTGTCAGTTTCTATTCAGACTGATAATGTAACTGTGTTGAAGTCACATTATGAGGGCGAGATGGCCCGAATGGTTAGAGCGCTAATTTACTGGCCCGAAGGTCTGTGATTCGAATTCGACCCCTGCCTCTCGACTTTTCCTGTCTAGGCTTCGGCAACTTGGCAGTATCTCAGCCCTCGTGCTTCCTTCTGGTGACATGGCAGTTAGGAACCAAAAGGATGCTACAGGTGAACGATTGTTTTGCTGAACGACTGTGTTGAAGATTTAGACACCTCGGATAGTTGTGGTATACCAGCCCTAGGT